CAATCAAACAAGCCAAGCGGGTGAAGCCCCAGCGAAATGGAGAGCGATGGCTGAAATATAGATACGGAGAGGCCTGGCAGTGTGATGTAGTCGATCTGCCAGGCCTCTCCATATCTATATTTCAGCCATCGCTCTCCATTTCGCTGGGGCTTCACCCGCTTGGCTTGTTTGATTGCAGCACACGTCTCACATCCATGGATGATCTCTGCAATGGTGTCAATAGTAAGGTCCACCCCTCGATCTCGAGCCCACCTGTATGTTGCATCCCTACCTTGGTGGCCCGAGGTCTCGTGGGCCCACCGGGCTATGAACAGTTCACCTTTGTGCTGCCAGTCCAAGTCCACCTGAGCCGCTCTGATCTTAGCAGCTTGGTCTGCCTGGTGGTTGTGTTGATGCTCATCAGTGGCCCGACTCTTGGGTACATGGGCATCCACGTGGTGCACCTTCACAACGAGGTTTTCCACACGGGCTGCAATGTCCTGCTATACTTCAGCAGACCAAACAGTTTTACCCTTACGTTGCCAGTTGCTCTGTTTCCATTGCTGCAGCCATTTCCACAGGGTATTCGCCACTGCCCACAAGTCAGTGTAGAGGTAGAGCCTCAGCCACTTTTCCCACTCAGCAATATCCAAAGCAAGCTGGATGGCTTTCACCTCTGCGAACTGGCTCGATTCACCCTGTCCCTCAGCAGTTTAAGTGACCCGTTGTGTGGGACTCCATAAAGCAGCCTTCCATCGTCGATGTTTTCCCACAATACAAGACCCATCAGTGAACAGGACATATCGCTTCTCCTCATCCGGCAGCTTGTTATATGGTGGGGCCTCCTTAGCACGTGTCACCTCCTGTTCTGGTGACATCCCGGAATCTTTGCTCTCTGGCCAGTTCATGATCACCTCTAGTATCCCTGGGTGGCTGGGGTTCCCTATTCGAGCCCGTTGTGTTATCAACGCAACCCATTTACTCCACGTGGCATCTGTTGCATGATGTGTGGAGGAAGCTTTTCCTTTGAACATCCACCCCAGCACCGGCAGTCGGGGTGCCAGGAGGAGCTGTGTTTCAGTGCCGACCACTTCTGAGGCAGCCCAAACTCCTTCGTACGCTGCCAGTATCTCCTTCTCAGTTGGTGTGTAATTGCCTTCAGAGCCTTTGTATCCCCAGCTCCAAAAGCCTTGAGGTTGGCCTCGGGTCTCCCCAGGTGCTCTCTGCCAGAGGCTCCAGGTAGGGCCATTCTCCCCGGCTGCGGTGTAGAGCATGTTCTTAACCTCCTGCCCTTCCTGGACTGGCCCAAGGGCTACTGCTTGGGCAACCTCTCGTTTAATCTGTTCAAAGGAGTGTTGTTGCTCAGGGCCCCATTCAAAATCGATCTTCTTATGGGTTACGTGGTAGAGAGGGCTCACAATCAGGCTGTAGTTCGGGATGTGCATCCTCCAGAACCCCACGGCGCCCAGGAAAGACTGAGTCTCCTTTCTAGAGGCTGGTGGGGCCATGGCTGTTATCTCGTTTATCACCTCCATTGGGATGTGGCAACGCCCATCTTGCCATTTTATTCCTAGGAATTGAATTTCCCTTGCAGGCCCCTTAACTTTCTTTTGCTTAATGGCAAAGCCGGCCTTCAGGAGGATTTCAGTTATCTTCTTCCCTTTCTCAAAGACTTCCTTAGCTGTGTTCCCACACACAATGATGTCATCAATGTACTGCAGATGTTCTGGAGCCCCACCTTTCTCCAGTGCAGTATGGACCAGTCCATGGCAAATGGTGGAGCTGTGGTTCCACCCCTGGGGTAATCGATTCCAGGTGTACTGGATGCCTCTCCAAACGAAAGCAAACTGTGGCCAGCACTCTGGCACTATCGGAATGGAGAAAAACGTGTTAGCAATATTAATTGTGGCGTACCACTTGGCTGCATTCGACTCCAGTTCATACTGGAGCTCCAGCATGTCCGGCACTGCAGCACTCATTGCTGGCGTCACTTCATTCAGGCCACAGTAGTCCACAGTTAGCCTCCATTCGCCATTAGGCTTCCTCACTGGCCATATAGGACTGTTGAAGGGGGAGTGAGTTTTGCTGATCACCTTCTGGATTTCTAGTTGACGGATCAGCTGATGGATGGGGACCAGGGAGTCTCGGTTGGTGCAGTACTGCTGCCACCAGTGCACCGTCCTGGTAGCAATCGGCACTCGCTGCTCCTCAACGTTAAGCCGCCCCACCACTGAGGGATCCTCTGAGAGGCCGGGTAAGGTGGACAACTGTTCAACCTCCTCCAGGGCAGCTACACCAAAAGCCCACCGGTACCCTTTTGGGTCTCTG